TTCCTTCCTTCCTTCCTTCCTTCCTTCCTTCCTTCCTTCCTTCCTTCTCTTTTTCAGTTTTAAAATGATTAATTCAGTTTCCTTTGTAGTTATATGGCTATTCAAATAACCTGTTTTATATTCAGTGAGTTGTTGTAATTTGTGCTTTTGAGGAATTCGTTCATTTCATCTGGATTGTCCAATTTAAATGTGCAGAGTTGTTTGTAGTGTTGACTCATTGTCCTTTGGATGTCTGTGGGATCTGTAATGATATCTCCTGCTCCATCTCTAATATTGGTAATTTGAGTCTTCCGTGTTTTTCCTTTGTCAGACATGTTGGGGGATTTTTCAATTTTAATCATCATTTCTAAATGATCAGTCAAGCTTTGTGTTCCATTGACTTTCTTTATTCTTCTACTTTTAATTTCATTGATTTCTTGTCTTTATTATTTCCTTTATTTTGGTTTATTTTGTTCTTTTTTTTTTCTATATTCTTGAGGTGATTAGATTAGATTATGAATGAGACTTTTCCTGATTTTTAATTTATATGATTTTAGCATTGTAAATCATTGTAAATCATTGTATGATTTTAGCATTTAGCTCTCACATGTGTACTTTTATTTTAATCCAGTTAACTGTATTTTGTTTGTCATTAAGATCCAAGGGTTCAGGGATTATTTGGAAGCATGTTGCTTAGATTCCAGGTGTTTGGAGATTTTCCTATTATCTTTCTTTTATTGATTTCTATTTTGACTCCATTTGGGTCAAAGAACACACTCTGTGTAATTTCAGTTCTTTAAATTTGATTTAAATTTGTGGAGGTTTGTTCAATGGCCCAGGATATGATCTATGGTAGTACCTGTTCCATGAACATTTGAGAAGAATGTGTATTCTTCTGTCATTGGCTGGAGTGGAGTGTTCTATAAATACTAATTGGGTCCTGTTGGTCAGTGGTGCTGTTGGGTTCTATATTCTTGCTAAATTTTCTGTCTAGTTCTAGCGGTTGTTGAGAGAAGCAATGAAGTATCCAACTGTAATTATGAATTTATCTATTTCTCTTTTGGTTCTATCAAGTTCTGCTTCCCATAGTTTGTAGTTCTGTTGTTTGGTTCATTTACATTTAATAAGTATTGACATGTTGGGTTTAAGCATGCATTTTATTTTTTTTATTTTCTGTGTTCTCAGTTTTTCCTTTACCTGTTTTCCTCTTCCTCCCTGCCTAGGAGTCACTTGAACATTTTTAAGAATTGCTTTTTTGACTTCTCTATGTTTTTGACAGTATCTCTTTGTATTGCCTTTTTTAGTGGTTTCTCTGGGTATTACATTACATATACATGACACCAGTTTTTGTGTCATGTTTTATAAGTTGGAGTGACATGTACAAATATTGCCTCCCTTTACATCTCTTTACCCTCCTCTGTTTATAATATAATTGTCTTAAACATTTACTTCACACACATTTAGAAGCACATCAGACAATATTACAATTTGCTTTAACCTTCAAACACAATTTGAAAAACTCAATAGCAGAAGGAAAAGTTTATTTTGTTTACTCATATTTTTGCTTACAGTGTTCTCTCTTTTGATACAATAACATTTCCCTCTTTTCCCATTTTCTTTATGTTTTAGAGAACTTCCTTCAGCCATTCTTTCAGGATAGGTCTCCTGGTAACAAATTTTCTTAAATGTGTCTTGATTTCCCTCTCATTCTTGGATATTTTTCCTGGAAATAAGAATCCTGCTTGTTAGTTCTTTCCTTTCAGCAAGTGAAAAGTGTACCAATTCTTTCTGACCACTGCTGTTTTCAATGAGAAATCTGCTATAATTTGAATTGCTTTTTCTTTTCTAGTAAGATGTCATGCCTCTTTCACTGCTTTCTGGATCTTTGCCTTTAGTACCAGAAGTTTGACTATGATGTGTGTTATTGTAGATTTTTTTGGATTTACCCTATGTGGAGTTACTCAACTTCTTGAATCCTTTGAATTTGGAGGTTTCTGTCTTTTGCCAAATTTGGGGAGTTTTAGCTATTATTTCTTTGAGAATTTTCTTTTCTCTTAAAGACCTTTTTTTTTTTTTTAATAAGAGAGAGCATGCATGAGTAGGGGGAGGAGGAGAGGAGGAAGGAGAGAGAGAATCTCAAGCAGACTCTACACTGAGTGTGGAGCCTGTCCCAGGGCTCAGTCTCATGACCCCAAGATCATGGCCTGAGCCAAAGCCAAGATTCATATGCTCAATGGACTGAGCCACCCAGGCACCTCTCTTTGAGAATTTTCAAGCTCTAATCACCCTTCTGGAACTATCGATTTGCCATTAGATCTTCTGTTATAGTCCTATATGTCCCTTAGCTTCTGCTCATGTTTCGTACAACCTCTATTCTCTCTGTTGTCCAGACTGGGTAATTCTGTTATTCTTTTGTCCATTCATTGATTCTTTCCCTTCTGCTCTCCATTCTGCTGTTGAGCCCATCTGCTGAGTTTTCCAATTTAGGTATCACATTTTTTAGTTCTAAAATTCCTTTTTTGGGGGGGTATCTTTTACTCCTTTGTTGGGAGTTTCTGTCTTTTCATTTGTTTCAAGTGTGTTTGTAATTGTTCACTGAAGCATTTTGATAGTGGCTGCTTTTCAATCTTTGTTAGGTGATTATAACATTTTTGTCATCTTGGTATTAGCATCTACTGATTACTTTTTTGAATTGTGGATTTCTTGGTTCTTGGATAATGAAAGACTTTTTTTTTTTAAGATTTTATTTATTTATTTGACAGAGAGAGAGAGATCACAAGCAGGCAGAGAGGCAGGCAGAGAGAGAGGAGGAAGCAGGCTCGCTGCTGAGCAGAGAGCCCGATGTGGGGCTTGATCCCCGGACCCTGGGATCATGACCCGAGCTGAAGGCAGAGGCTTTAACCCACTGAGCTACCCAGGTGCCCCAATGAAAGACTTTTGATGGAAACCTAAATACTTTTGGTATTATGTTATGAGACTTTGGATCTCATTTAAGCTTTCTGTTTAGCTGACTTCCTCTGACATCACTCAGGTAGGAGAAGTGGGAGGGCACTGCCTCCTTACTGCCAGGTGAGGGTAGAAGTCCAGGTTCCCTGTTTGCTGACATCCAAGGGAGGAGCTCCTCATTTCTGCTGGAAGGGTTGGCCACCACCCACACCTCCCTGGCCAGGAGAAGTAGGAGACCTTATTATTGCTCCCTACTTGATCTCCACTGACACCATGATTTGGGGAGCGTGTAATG